ACAACAGGCTCAAGCTGGTGCAGAGTCGACCATAAGCATCACATGTCTACAGAAACGACAGGCTCAAGCTGGCGCAGAGTCGACTATAGGCATCACATGTCTACAGAAACGACAGGCTCAAGCTGGCGCAGAGTCGACTATAGGCATCACATGTCTACAGAAACGACAGGCTCAACCTGGAGAAGAGTCGACCATAGGCATCACATGTCTACAGAAATGACAGGCTCAAGCTGGAGCAGGGTCGGCCATACGCATCACATGTATACAGAAACGACAGGCTCAAGCTGGAGCAGTCGACCATAAGCATCACATGTATACAGAAATGACAGGCTCAAGCTGTAGCAGAGTCGGCCATAGGCATCACATGTCTACAGAAACGACAAGCTCAAGCTGGAGCAGAGTTGGCCATAGGCATCACATGTCTACAGAAACGACACGCTCAAGCTGGAGCAGAGTCGGCCATAGGCATCACATGTCTACAGAAACAACAGGCTCAAGCTGGAGCAGAGTCGACCATAAGCATCACATGTCTACAGAAACGACAGGCTCAAGCTGGAGAAGAGTCGCCCATAGGCATCACATGTCTATAGAAACGACAGGCTCAAGCTGGATCAGAGTCGACTATAGGCATCACATGTCTACAGAAACGACAGGCTCAAGCTGGAGCAGAGTCGACCATAAGCATCACTAGTCTGAATTATTCTGACGTTTTATAGACTTTTTTTCATATCGGTCTGTCGTCGATTAACGTCAGAACTCCGGCCCTCTATAATATGCGGGAAATATGCGACCCGCGCCGTGAGCGCACTTCAAAATGATATTTTCGAAACAAATAGTCACTTTCACACACATATTGAAAGATCTATTCTTTATGCACAAGGTGGTATCAATAACATGTTTCAAAGATCATTATGAAAAGTATTTTCCAACGTTTTATATACCAACCCATGGTTTTAAAGGAAATTAGGCCATGAGCAATGTCACATGACTTGAAGAGATGTCGCGTTATCGAAGGTATTTCCCAAACGGTATGACGTAGGCCGGCGAGATTTTAGTCACGTGGCATTAGAAGGCGGGGCTATCAAAAAACTAGAGTAAAACAGGGTAAGTTTGAAAACGTATGTTTTTAGTGATTGTATTCGTTGTTTGAGGCATGTTATGTATGTTCATCTTGTGCATAATGAATAGATCTTTCGATCCATGTGCGACATGTGTGTGAAAGTGACGATTTGTTTCTAAAATATCAGTTTGAAGTGCGCTCCGGGCGCGGGTCGCATATTTCCCGCATATTATAGAGGGGTGGAGTTCTGACGCTAATCGACGACAGACCGATATGAAAAAAGTTGATAAAACGTCAGAATAATTCAGACTAAAGCATCACATGATAACATGTACAACAGTATGACTGGCTCGGACAGATATCATTACCTTTCAGGATCTCAGCCTGTACATATGGAAATTGATCAATACCAATTTGAATTTAAAGACCATGATTAACTACTTTTGAAGACATTAATATATTATAAGAAGCTGTTTAATAGAATTTTAAGTGGAAATTAATTCTAAAGTAAGGTTTCAAATTTCCATTCAACATTGACTGTTACCTCAATTATAATGTATGTCTGAATATATATACCAAGTAGGAGATATCCTTTTTATCCAACTTTTCAATGAAATCTATATCCCAGGACCAGACTTGTACCCCAGATCTTATGCAGCACCAATAAGCCTTACTCAAACACCTTAATACATCACACTCACAATGGTTAGTAGAATGTTAAAAGCTGAACTGTTGAACTATTTTTTGGTTTTGGCAAATAAAAGTTAGTGATATTCAAATCAGATCAAAAGGTTATGTTAGCTGTATGCATCACATGGTTCAGACTCTGTAAAACACAGACCAATTTAGACCTTGATTTCATTTACAACTAACAAGACAATATCTACTTGATATTGGTAATTAGTATTGTTGAGGTATTAAGAAAATAATTGATCACCAGTCCAAGTTTTTCTAAATCTTCTTTTTAGGTCAGGATCAAATGGCTACTTATAGCATGATTGAACAGACCTTCGGTGATCTGCCACTTGCACTAAATCAGTAAATATACAATCTATATGGTTGTACTATTACCAGTTATCATACATTATAGGCGCCTCTTTTCAAAAACAAATAACAGGTGCTTGTTGAAGAAAGGTTGAAAGCTGTTATGTTGCATGTTTCAAATGAAGCATTAAAGGGACATCACGTGAAAAGGCGTTTTTTTTTTAATGAATGTATGTATTGTATGCACTTCCACTTATGTTACCTCGCTATCCCCATATTCATAGTCCGTTCCAAATGTCCAGTTTGACCACTTGAATTGTTCGGGAAAGCCCGGCTAAAAATAGCGCCGATAACGTCACCTGATTAGGCAGCAAACACAAGTGGTGCGAGCGAGATGAAACGGTTTACAAAGGGGCCCTCAGAGAGGGGCCGTCAGGCAACTGCAACTTCTTACCGCACTATGAAACCAAGTTATATGATTTCTAATTCCGTATTCAAACTTATTGAACAGTAATTATTCATCATCAGAAGTTAATTGCACACTTGCCAATATTAAGAATTTAAATTTATTTAGCTTTTAACATAAATTTGTTGCCAATAAAATTAAACAAAGGATGGGGCACAAGTTTTTACAATTTATCACAGCCTTCTCCCGTGACCGGTACAGGTGGTACGGGGCTAAACACTCCCTCAACAATGGGACAAACCTTTCTGTAAAAAGGAATATTCACGAGACGAATATCCCTTTTCAAATGTTTACATAAAGTGCATATATGCAATGACAAACTACACGCGAATATAAAAAGGAAACGTTTGTGAATTTATTTATTACATTAAACAACTCAATGTCTTTGGCCATTTTTTTTCTAGACCATGAATATAAATCTATGTATACTCTCTTTCCCACTTTCACTGTCTCCAAACGCTAACATTTAGGAAGTCATATTAACCATCACACACAATAAACTGTATGGCAAAACCACTACGTGTACATGTAGAATATGTGTCAATAAGGAACGTGTTGAGATACTTGATAATTATATTTTTTCAATACTTTACAGAGATTAAAGCATACTTTTAAATGGACCTTTTTATGCTGAGACAACTTTTCTTTAATCAGTTCCTTTGGTCCGAAACAGAAGCCGTAGTTATCGGCAGCACGCGCCATTTTTATAACGTAATCAAATATTTTTTCCCCTGTTTTCAATACGTATTCCGATTCTATCTGAAGTCGAAAATTTATTCTTTATAGAGAAAAGGTTGTTACATGATCATACATTCTAAGTCAACATCATATGAAAACATGAACTGTTGAAAAATTACGATTTAAAAAAAAAGTGTTATGCGATCCTATTTACTAGAAGTAGGTTCTCCTTCCTCAGTTATTCATCCTGGTCCGTCATTTTGACATTTTTAATCTAGCTGCGATAACGTAGCTTTCTGACGAAGAGCGATTTTTTTTTTATATATTGCGTCGTCGCGCCAGGGCAGGCCGGGTATTATATTAGTACTAATTTAAAACTTGCATGTCAAAACAAAAAACAATCGTTTAATTCAGCAATATAATTAAATCATACCATTTTACTGATCCCGGTAATATTATAAATTATGTAAATCTAATAGCGCACGTATCTCATTTGACCCCGAGCACCGACAGAGGATCAGAGAACAGAATACGCCGTGGCCATCACAGCAGTTATCCCTTGGGGGGCCTCATGGCAAAATCAAACTAACCAGTCACTTATCCCTTTCGTTTGCATAAACCACTGTATAATTAAAAAAAACACAAAGTAAACTCTCTCCGATACATGCCCATTAACATATTAAACTAAGTTCATCTGTGTTCAAACTCACACAATGATACTAGCGAGGTTAATAGTTTTAGATATTTATTCATAACATAAACAGCGCTAGCATTTCTGTCGATTTTATTTCAGCTTAACCGGCCGCTATCCGGAAGAAAACATGCACCGTACTGACTGCTAGGGCAGTTATTTTCTGCTTTGAATACTTCCCACTGGCAATAATGATTCCGTAACGTACCCCTTGCGCTATCTTTTGACCATTTGGCAACTATTCGCTTCGTAGCTGACACGGTACAACACTTTTCTTTGGCTTACTTCACACGGCCAGTCATTTTGTTTACAAAGAAATGGTGTGCTATGCGCATGCGCTAGTAGAGGGAAATCCCTGAACAAAACGTTGGTCAGACAGGTAGAAATACCGATGATTATCTTAGATTTAATCATTTTTATGAATCTATTTCAGCCAAATCCGATCGGCATTTTCCATAAGGAGTCTCACTTGATATGTTTATGTAGTATTTGGAAAAAAGACAAAAAAAAAAGTTACTTCAGCGTGATGCCCCTTTAAGCATTAAAAGTGGAAAAGTGTGAATCGTTTAAGCATGTTTAGTGCATTATAACATAGCCTAGATGTCAGTATATAGTACAGGTAATTAAGCAGCAAATTTTTATGCAGCATTATTCTTAAGCACAAATAATAATGCTAAGAATCAAAACAGAGTCAATATGAAATGCTTGCAGCTTAACAGTAAGTCCTATCTTACATGGGTTGAATGTTTGCCAGAATGAAGCAAAAAACCTGGATAGCTAACGTGTCAAAGTGTCATACTTAGACATGACAGATTGGAACATTCCTCTACAAAACTTTTATAGTTCTGAAGCAAAAATAATAGACCTTTTAAATCTTAGAAATGCTGCCTTTTGAGAAATTGGCTACAAATCATTCTTTTTACAGCACTAAAGCATGTGTGGTGAAACCCCCTTAAATCTTAGGGACCATGTGTGATTGGAGAGGGACAGTGGTGGTCAGAGGCACAGGTCCAACGATGACACTATCGTTTCTGTGGGATGTCATACTGTTGTATATGTCGGCCTGTTAGAAGCATGACTGACACACAGCAACAAAACAATCGGACTTTGTAAGAGTTTACCAGATCATGCTCGTGCTGCCACCATATATCATAGGGGAGGACAAAATCAGACACTGTCTCCCGTAAATATTTTCCCACATGTAGAGGGGGCGGAAGCAGCTTGTGCTGAGAGACTCTGCACGCATACACCACCTTTTCTTTGGTCCGGGTCACAGGATCAGCAGATTTCTTCTTCGGCCTGAAACGAGAAAAGCAAGACATTCATTATCACTGTGACAAATCTATATATACTTTTGTAATGTAGTAGTATTTTGCAGACAGAGTATGGTTTTGGTTATGTGCATATCAAAGACCATGTATGGTGTAAGTATAAACCAGTGGATATTTGTGTCATTGTCTGCATCAGCTGCATCAAAGTACCTTTTAATTAGGCTTTCATTTGGTATCCTCAAGGTGTCCTAATTGGCTCAGCATTAGTACTTGAAGTGAACCCCATTATAAATGACGCTAACTGTTTACAGGTAAGTTAACACACCATATAGAGAATCACCTATATACCTGCAGCCAACAATGCACTGCTCCTTTATATCATACAAATAACAGCTGGAAACCTCAGGTAAAATTCTAATACATAATTCACAGGTAAATTTCAGGATTCTCAAATTTATCTACCCTTTATGAAATTACACCTGAAAAGCCTAAACATTTAAATTTTCTGCTTTATTGGGACAACAAAAGGATCTTTTTGTATACGTTTTCAACACAAAAGGTATAAACATGTACATCCCTGGGTGATGTATTGCTCTGTCACTATCAACCCTGATAGGCATACAAATTACACCATATTAAATGAAAATGCCGTAAATGTCCAAATATTTTACAACTCAAACTTTTTATTGTATGTGTCATCCTCTGTACTTGTTCAGATAATATTTATCATTTTAAGACTTGTTTATCACCATGAATTTTCTTGCTTTCAAAATCTCCTGATATTCTTTTCTTTTGTTGTTTTCATATTTGAGAATCAAATATTGAATCATATAAGCTATGTTGCAATATGTGACTCCATATACCCGTACCTGAACATTCTATTTTTATTTGGATCAGAATATGAGGACATTTACCGCTGCTGGCAAAGTCAAATGAAGTAGGGAGGATTCTTTTCAAATGGTTGATTAAATCATGTACCTTGAATTGGTCCTACTCAAATTAATGTTTGAATTGAAATCATGTATCAAAGCCCAGAATGAAGACCTAAACCGCCCTCTATTCACACACGAACACCTAACCAACCGGATTTCTTAACCTCGTTGACTACATATCCTCTTTGACCTTAGCAGATAGAGAAGTCTATCACCTAATCTGTAAGAGTACTTCATCTGTGACTTCAAAATAACTAGTGGTAATTCACAAATGCTTTATCAAAGGATTCTCAAATACTGGAGTTATTGACAGACAAATGACTTGAAAGTCAGTGTGAGAGCCGGTATAAAAGACATGAAACATGAAACCCTCAGCAACTAAAGCAATATAATGCAAGTTGTGTAACCAATAACCAGTCTCTGCATGAATTCCATAGTCCCTGCTGCCAAAAACGTAACACGTCTATAAGGCACTTCATCAAACGGCAGTTGTTTATTTCAGCATTTACAAGAGGATGTGCAATACATTGGGACATAACGTTACAGGAAGTAACGAAAAATATCACATGGCATCTTTCACTCTTCCTGGTTAATTACTACACTAGCAATAGACACTGTCCGCAGTCCTAATCAGTTTGAGTTCATTTCCTTGTTGAGCTAAGCTGCTTGATGTCGGTGGAGAACTTGATGCTTGATAACCTAAAGTGCTCTCAGTCGTTAAAGCACTGTCATGCTTTGAAAAAGAACAAGATTTTTTTTTACATCTACATATATACAATTTTCAAAAATATTCATTTTTATAAAACTATCATAAGATTAATTGCTTTATTAAATCTTTTGAATGTTTCAGATTAATAATGTTTATGAACTCTCAATCTATCAATAATGTTTATTAACTCTCAATCTAACCAGCCTTTTGATAAGTGAGGCTGTCAGGTATATATACACAGAGGGATACTTCACCAGTTAGCATTGCACAGCACTTGTGTGTGTACAAATGTAATTTGAACCAATCAATCCATAACAATAATGTATTTATGGTGTGATCTTCCTCACTGATAAGCAACTCCACCATAGAAATCCTTTACAACGTGATGAAAATGGGAGGGGAAAAATCAATTTGCTAATATAACATCCCACTCGTATTTCAAACATTATGATGATCATGGCAATGACAACGTAAAATGGTTTCTCTGTCACTGCTGAAAAAAGATCTGCCGATTGGGACCAAGTGTCTGGGAACAGAAGATGGCAGGGAAAATCACAGACAGAGCGACTTGCAATTTGACAATGGTTTGTGTTGATAATATTTTCTCAGCCACAAGAGGTTGCAAGGGGACCTGAAGGAGTCAAATGAAAATAATTACAGTTGAAATACATTATCTCCAATCACTGAAAATGACAGATCCATTTCAACGCATGTACATGTAACAGGCTATTAGAGATAATGTTGATGTAACACCAGAACACGTGACCCATGGGAGTGATGACCGAGTAGCAAGTGCTGTATGTAAGATCTGACTGGTCCAAAATGATTTTATTGGGATGCAGACACATGTAAATCCCGTGTGCATTTGTACTCACAACAGCTAAGGTCATATAGGATGGGTGTGGTGCACAAGGAGACATCATTTAAACTCACAAAAGCTAAGGTCATATAGGATGGGTGCGGGGCCCAAGGAGACATCATTTAAACTCCCAACAGCTAAGGTCATATAGGATGGGTGTGGTGCCAAAGGAGACATCATTTAAACGCACAACAGCTAAGGTCATATAGGATGGGTGTGCAGCCCAAGGAGACATCATTTAAACTCGCAACAGCTAAGGTCATATAGGATGGGGGCGGTGCCAAAGGAGACATCATTTAAACTCACAAAAGCTAAGGTCATATAGGATGGGTGCGTTACAGTTAAGGTCATATAGGATGGGTGCGGTGCCGAAGGAGACATCATTTAAACTCACAAAAGCTAAGGTCATATAGGATGGGTGCAGTGCCCAAGGAGACATCATTTAAACACACAACAGCTAAGGTTATATAGGATGGGTTCGGTGCCCAAGGAGACATCATTTAAAATCACAACAGCTAAGGTCATATAGGATGGGGGTGGTGCCCAAGGAGACATCATTTAAACGCACAACAGCTAAGGTCATATAGGATGGGTGCGTTACCCACGGAGACATCATTTAAACTCACAACAGCTAAGGACGTATAGGATGGGTGCGGTGCCCAAGGCGACATCATTTAAACTCACAAAAGCTAAGGTCATATAGGATGGGTGCGGTGCCTAAGGAGACATCATTTAAACTCACAACTGCTAAGGTCTTATAGGATGGGTGCGGTGCCCAAGGAGACATAATTTAAATATACAACAGCTAAGGTCATATAGGATGGGTGCGGTCCCCAAGGAGACATCCTTTAAACTCACAACAGCTAAGGTTATATAGGATGGGTTCGGTGCCCAAGGAGACATCATTTAAACGCACAACAGCTAAGGTCATATAGGATGGGTGTGCAGCCCAAGGAGACATCATTTAAACTCGCAACAGCTAAGGTCATATAGGATGGGTGCAATGCCCAAGGAGACATCATTTAAACTCAGAACAGCTAAGGTGGTATAGGATGGGTGCGGTGCCCAAGGCGACATCAATTAAACTCACGGCAGCTAAGGTCATATAGGATGGGTGCAATGCCCAAGGAGACATCATTTAAACTCACAAAAGCTAAGGTCATATAGGATGGGTGCGGGGCCCAAGGAGACATCATTTAAACTCGCAACAGCTAAGGTCATATAGGATGGGTGTGCAGCCCAAGGAGACATCATTTAAACTCCCAACAGCTAAGGTCATATAGGATGGGGGCGGTGCCCAAGGAGACATCATTTAAAATCACAACAGCTAAGGTCATATAGGATGGGTGCGTTACAGTTAAGGTCATATAGGATGGGTGCGGTGCCGAAGGAGACATCATTTAAACTCACAACAGCTAAGGGCATATAGGATGGGTGCGGTGCCCAAGGTGACATCATTTAAACTCACAACAGTTAAGCTCATATAGGATGGGTGCGGTGCCCAAGGTGACATCATTTAAACTCACAACAGTTAAGGTCATATAGGATGGGTGTGGTCCCCAAGGAGACATCATTTAAACTCAGAACAGCTAAGGTGGTATAGGATGGGTGCGGTGCCCAAGGAGACATTTAAACTCACAACAGCTAAGGTCGTATAGGATGGGTGCGTTACCCAAGGAGACATCATTTAAACTCACAACTGCTAAGGTCATATAGGATGGGTGCGGTGCCCAAGGAGACATCATTTAAACTCACAACTGCTAAGGTCATATAGGATGGGTGCGTTACCCAATTGCAAGTAGATACATTTAACAGAAATAAAAGGCAAGAGAAGAAGGAAAAGACACAGAACCTTTCTTGTAAGTGTTGCAATGGGGCAACAAATCCAGTCTGGTCTCTCTAATGTCTACTAAGTAGACGACACCGAAGGAAACCAAGAATTCTGTAAGAAGTCCTACAACATTTACATCTTCCTACATCGGTACCTGCACATGTCCAATACAAAGGAACAACATTCAGTCAGATTTGGATGTTCATATAGGGCTACGGAATCAACATTCTATCAGAAACATTCCTAAGAAGTCATTAATCTCTTTGATGCTTACAAAGTTCTTGCTGAGAGTAAGTGCAGTGATGACTACTAATTACCAGACATTCTAATAAAGACACGAGTGACTACTATCTGAACCAATATGCTGTCTGGATTCGCAAACAGACAAAAATTCCAGAAAAACGCCACACATTCCATTTATCTGTTCTTGAGAAGTTTTTATTACAGAAAAAGTTGACAACAGGTACCACATCATAAATGTAAGCACACTGGTATTTTGAGGCCGATTCAAATAAAAAATATAAAAAATATTCTCATTCCCATGAACCCCAAAAGATCATTTAAAACTTGATGAAAGGTTCTTTTTATACAAATTTACAAACTTGAAAGTAGAAGGGGATTTAACACTCTGTTTAATTGAATCCAGCAAGCTGAGTAATTATATCCAATTTTAGCTTTTCCACAAAACCAAGATAAA